AACTACTACAAGATTACCTCGTTTGTTCAGTACTGAGTAAAGTTTTATCTTCCTCACTTTAGACAGGTAAACTACTACAAGATTACCTTGTTTGTTCAGTACTGAGTAAAGTTTTATCTTCCTCACTTTAGACAGGTAAACTACTACAAGATTACCTCGTTTGTTCAGTACTGAGTAAAGTTTTATCTTCCTCACTTTAGACAGGTAAACTACTACAAGATTACCTAGTTTGTTCAGTACTGAGTAAACTTTTATCTTCCTCACTTTAGACAGGTAAACTACTACAAAATTACCTCGTTTGTTCAGTACTGAGTAAAGTTTTATCTTCCTCACTTGAGGCAGGTAAACTACTACAAGATTACCTCGTTTGTTCAGTACTGAGTAAAGTTTTATCTTCCTCACTTTAGACAGGTAAACTACTACAAGATTACCTCGTTTGTTCAGTACTGGGTAAAGTTTTATCTTCCTCACTTGAGGCAGGTAAAGTACTACAAGATTACCTCGTTTGTTCAGTACTGGGTAAAGTTTTATCTTCCTCACTTGAGGCAGGTAAACTACTACAAGATTACCTTGTTTGTTCAGTACTGGGTAAAGTTTTATCTTCCTCACTTGAGGCAGGTAAACTACTACAAGATTACCTTGTTTGTTCAGTACTGGGTAAAGTTTTATCTTCCTCACTTGAGGCAGGTAAACTACTACAAGATTACCTTGTTTGTTCAGTACTGAGTAAAGTTTTATCTTCCTCACTTTAGACAGGTAAACTACTACAAGATTACCTCGTTTGTTCAGTACTGGGTAAAGTTTTATCTTCCTCACTTGAGGCAGGTAAACTACTACAAGATTACCTCGTTTGTTCAGTACTGAGTAAAGTTTTATCTTCCTCACTTTAGACAGGTACACTACTACAAGATAACCTAGTTTGTTCAGTACTGAGTAAAGTTTTATCTTCCTCACTTTAGACAGGTAAACTACTACAAGATTACCTCGTTTGCTCAGTACTGAGTAAAGTTTTATCTTCCTCACTTTAGGCAGGTAAATAGTAAAGTTTTATCTTCCTCACTTTAGGCAGGTAAACAGTAAAGTTTTATTTTCCTCACTCTAGACAGGTAAACTACTACAAGATTACCTCGTTTGCTCAGTATTGAGTAAAGTTTTATCTTCCTCACTTTAGGCAGGTAAACTACTACAAGATTACCTAGTTTGTTCAGTACTGGGTAAAGTTTTATCTTCCTCACTTTAGACAGGTAAACTACTACAAGATAACCTCGTTTGTTCAGTACTGAGTAAAGTTTTATCTTCCTCACTTTAGACAGGTAAACTACTACAAGATTACCTCGTTTGTTCAGTACTGAGTAAAGTTTTATCTTCCTCACTTTAGACAGGTAAACTACTACAAGATTACCTCGTTTGTTCAGTACTGGTTAAAGTTTTATCTTCCTCACTTTAGACAGGTAAACTACTACAAGATTACCTCGTTTGTTCAGTACTGGTTAAAGTTTTATCTTCCTCACTTTACACAGGTAAACTACTACAAGATTACCTTGTTTGTTCAGTACTGAGTAAAGTTTTATCTTCCTCACTTTAGACAGGTAAACTACTACAAGATTACCTCGTTTGTTCAGTACTGAGTAAAGTTTTATCTTCCTCACTTTAGACAGGTAAACTACTACAAGACTACCTCGTTTGTTCAGTACTGAGTAAAGTTTTATCTTCCTCACTTTAGACAGGTACACTACTACAAGATTACCTCGTTTGTTCAGTACTGGTTAAAGTTTTATCTTCCTCACTTTACACAGGTAAACTACTACAAGATAACCTCGTTTGTTCAGTACTGGGTAAAGTTTTATCTTCCTCACTTTAGACAGGTAAACTACTACAAGATAACCTCGTTTGTTCATTACTGAGTAAAGTTTTATCTTCCTCACTTTAGACAGGTAAACTACTACAAGATTACCTCGTTTGTTCAGTACTGAGTAAAGTTTTATCTTCCTCACTTTACACAGGTAAACTACTACAAGATTACCTCGTTTGTTCAGTACTGGGTAAAGTTTTATCTTCCTCACTTTAGGCAGGTACACTACTACAAGATTACCTCGTTTGTTCAGTACTGAGTAAAGTTTTATCTTCCTCACTTTACACAGGTAAACTACTACAAGATTACCTCGTTTGTTCAGTACTGGGTAAAGTTTTATCTTCCTCACTTTAGACAGGTAAACTACTACAAGACTACCTCGTTTGTTCAGTACTGGGTAAAGTTTTATCTTCCTCACTTTAGACAGGTACACTACTACAAGATTACCTCGTTTGTTCAGTACTGGTTAAAGTTTTATCTTCCTCACTTTAGACAGGTAAACTACTACAAGATTACCTCGTTTGTTCAGTACTGAGTAAAGTTTTATCTTCCTCACTCTAGACAGGTAAACTACTACAAGATTACCTCGTTTGTTCAGTACTGAGTAAAGTTTTATCTTCCTCACTTTAGGCAGGTAAACTACTTCAAGATTACCTCGTTTGTTCAGTACTGAGTAAAGTTTTATCTTCCTCACTTTAGACAGGTACACTACTACAAGATAACCTCGTTTGTTCAGTACTGAGTAAAGTTTTATCTTCCTCACTTTACACAGGTAAACTACTACAAGATTACCTCGTTTGTTCAGTACTGAGTAAAGTTTTATCTTCCTCACTTGAGGCAGGTAAACTACTACAAGATTACCTCGTTTGTTCAGTACTGAGTAAAGTTTTATCTTCCTCACTTTAGACAGGTAAACTACTACAAGATTACCTCGTTTGTTCAGTACTGAGTAAAGTTTTATCTTCCTCACTTTAGACAGGTAAACTACTACAAGATTACCTCGTTTGTTCAGTACTGAGTAAAGTTTTATCTTCCTCACTTTAGGCAGGCAAACTACAACAAGATTACCTCATTTGTTCAGTACTGAGTAAAGTTTTATCTTCCTCACTTTACACAGGTAAACTACTACAAGATTACCTCGTTTGTTCAGTACTGAGTAAAGTTTTATCTTCTACATTGAGGCAGGTAAACTACTACAAGATAACCTCGTTTGTTCAGTACTGAGTAAAGTTTTATCTTCCTCACTTTAGACAGGTAAACTACTACAAGATTACCTCGTTTGTTCAGTACTGAGTAAAGTTTTATCTTCCTCACTTGAGGCAGGTAAACTACTACTAGATAACCTCGTTTGTTCAGTACTGAGTAAAGTTTTATCTTCCTCACTTTAGACAGGTAAACTACTACAAGATTACCTCGTTTGTTCAGTACTGAGTAAAGTTTTATCTTCCTCACTTGAGGCAGGTAAACTACTACAAGATTACCTCGTTTGTTCAGTACTGGGTAAAGTTTTATCTTCCTCACTTTAGACAGGTAAACTACTACAAGATTACCTCGTTTGTTCAGTACTGAGTAAAGTTTTATCTTCCTCACTTTAGACAGGTAAACTACTACAAGATTACCTCGTTTGTTCAGTACTGAGTAAAGTTTTATCTTCCTCACTTTAGGCAGGTAAACTACTACAAGATTACCTGGTTTGTTCAGTACTGAGTAAAGTTTTATCTTCCTCACTTTAGACAGGTAAACTACTACAAGATTACCTCTTTTGTTTAGTACTGAGTAAAGTTTTATCTTCCTCACTTTAGACAGGTACACTACTACAAGATTACCTCGTTTGTTCAGTACTGGGTAAAGTTTTATCTTCCTCACTTTAGGTAGGTAAACTACTACAAGATTACCTCTTTTGTTTAGTACTGAGTAAAGTTTTATCTTCCTCACTTTAGACAGGTTAACTACTACAAGATTACCTCGTTTGTTCAGTACTGAGTAAAGTTTTATCTTCCTCACTGTAGACAGGTAAACTACTACAAGATTACCTCTTTTGTTTAGTACTGAGTAAAGTTTTATCTTCCTCACTTTAGACAGGTAAACTACTACAAGATTACCTCGTTTGTTCAGTACTGAGTAAAGTTTTATCTTCCTCACTTGAGGCAGGTAAACTACTACAAGATTACCTCGTTTGTTCAGTACTGAGTAAAGTTTTATCTTCCTCACTTTAGACAGGTACACTACTACAAGATTACCTGGTTTGTTCAGTACTGAGTAAAGTTTTATCTTCCTCACTTGAGACAGGTACACTACTACAAGATTACCTCGTTTGTTCAGTACTGAGTAAAGTTTTATCTTCCTCACTTTAGACAGGTAAACTACTACAAGATAACCTGGTTTGTTCATAACTGAGTAAAGTTTTATCTTCCTCACTTGAGGCAGGTAAACTACTACAAGATAACCTCGTTTGTTCAGTACTGAGTAAAGTTTTATCTTCCTCACTTGAGGCAGGTAAACTACTACAAGATTACCTCGTTTGTTCAGTACTGAGTAAAGTTTTATCTTCCTCACTTGAGGCAGGTAAACTACTACAAGATTACCTCGTTTGTTCAGTACTGAGTAAAGTTTTATCTTCCTCACTTGAGGCAGGTAAACTACTACAAGATTACCTCGTTTGTTCAGTACTGGGTAAAGTTTTATCTTCCTCACTTTAGACAGGTAAACTACTACAAGATTACCTCGTTTGTTCAGTACTGAGTAAAGTTTTATCTTCCTCACTTGAGGCAGGTAAACTACTACAAGATTACCTGGTTTGTTCAGTACTGAGTAAAGTTTTATCGTCCTCACTTTAGACAGGTACACTACTACAAGATTACCTCGTTTGTTCAGTACTGAGTAAAGTTTTATCTTCCTCACTTTAGACAGGTACACTACTACAAGATTACCTGGTTTGTTCAGTACTGAGTAAAGTTTTATCTTCCTCACTCTAGACAGGTAAACTACTACAATTTTACCTTGTTTGTTCAGTACTGAGTAAAGTTTTATCTTCCTCACTCTAGACAGGTTTATCTTCCTCACTCTAGACAGGTTAACTACTACAATTTTACCTTGTTTGTTCAGTACTGTAAAGAAATATGCATGTCAATATTATTTTTATACTTACCAGTAAGTAGAGAGTTGAATTGTAAATCACTACAATCTTGAGATAGGTCACTGAGGTCAACAGTCAAACCATTGTGTTTGTCTACCTGGCCAGCAGGTAAGATGGCATCAGGTCCTGTACTGATTTTTCTTACACCAATCAATGGCAAGACATCTGTCCTGAATCGTGCTCCCAACACAGGTATAAATACTGACAATACTGAATTTGAAGTCCACTTTTGTTTTCCATTTACATTGAATCTGGTAACTGATATTCTACATGAGGTAGAAAAAGCTGATGTATTACAACTTCTGGTTAGTTTACTGTGTCCTATTAATCCTCTGATTGCAGATACAGTAGACATGGTTTTATTATTATAATTATTGATTCCTTGCAACTGTTTGAGCAGGGATATATTTTTACATTTGATACATACATGTGTATTCATAGTCAGGCTTTAACTGCTGCATGTTCCTATCACATCTGAAAAAAGCATGAGTGTGTATCTTGTGAAATGAATAATTGTTTAAAGTAATTATATAAGTAATAATTGCATTGGCTTCATTAGTTTGTACATGGTGAATTAAAAAACCCAAATTAAATATGTAGCCATAGTAAGTAAGGTGTAAATCTTAGGTTTCACAAAACTTTCGGTTTCAGGGGGTTTTTAAAGACAAAATGCTGTGAAATGTTTCTATAGACATATGCAAAAAGATATTTGCCACTTTGAATAGTTTTTGTTTAAAAAACCAAATCATATTTTTTTTTTCCATTCGAATTAGTGAGCAATCAAAGTGCTAGATAAGTATGGTGTACTGAATTTCAATTAAATAAGACTTCTCTGATTTTATCATCAAATAAGAAACTTCAATCTAAGATTTTTGGCAAAGGGTAACTGAATTTAAGCCATGTCGGCAGGCCAAACTGTGTACCAGTCTATATATATATATATATACATCACGTGACACGATCAGGGTGCTTTGTATGGATCTGACAATAATAGTATGTGTCACACATTTATGGTAAAATCTGAATTGGAAACTGGTGGTTTCCAAATGAAATTTTTTAAAATCTCACATACATCAAAACATGCTCTGTATTGACAGGGAACAGAGTCAATCTGTGCTACTAACATGACTAAAGGGTTGTCTTCCTTTGCAAAAAAATCTAAAATTTAAAACAATTTCGTATTGAATTTGAAAATGAACTATTATTGCAGAATTCATCCTGTCAAATTTTGTAACATTACGTTGATTTCAGAGTTTCATTTTATAATTTCAAAGTTATTTTTAGTGTACATGAATTACAAAATTCATTTTTTGTGAGGAAAATATATAAAGAAGCATTTCAAGTTACAATTTAAATACAAGTTTTCTAAATATGTGTTTGCATAAACAATAAAAGGGCTAAAACATTGTATCATGCAAATTAGGGAATATGTAAATAATGCTAATACAAAAGAAGGGACTTAATATCACATCAATTTCAAAATTATCTAGAGCTATATACTTACCAAAACATAGGTTAAATAATATAATGTGAAAACAAACATGACAGATTTAAGGCTATACAGTGACCTATAGTTGCTTACATTTACGTATTTAGGCAAAGTTGACACAAGATTGTTTTTTTCCATTCAGCATTGACCGCTTTTGGTCATAAACTCAAACGGTTCATGACAAAAGTTACAAGTGATGGAGAAATGCTTTTGATGTTCTTTTCCGGTCTCATTTGGTCATACAGCTAATAATAATTTATTTACTACCAAATTTTGGCATGGTAATTTTCTCTATATTTTTTAATCATCTTGCTTTTTCCTGGATTTTCTTTATGCCATCTTGCCTAGCAACTCTTGTATTTCTCAAGGTTTAAAAAAAAATCTTCCTCATATACACATCTGGCAGAATATTTAGAAATTCATTGAAATTTCTTTTAGATTTTTCATCCATTTTTTACTTTCAATTCTTACCTAACATTCAGAGATATCTTTTGCACACCAAACTTTTTAAATGTTTTGTCCAGAAAAGCAATCACACAAACCTATTTCTAAAAGTTTATTTACCCTAATAATGTCCAGTGGCAACTATTTCATGCATATTCTGGACCTCCTTATTTTTGCTAAACGTTATCAATAGTTCTGAAAAGACATCATTGATGAAATTTGTTATTTTTAGGTTCATTAGTAAGCATCCTTAAGGTTGTTCTGTGTGTTCTGCATAATTTTACCCTTGCCACTGCCATGATTGCTCAAGATCATGTTCATCTCTAGTTGTCAACATGTACTTCTACTTTCCATAAAATGGAAAATTCATGGAATCTTCTCAAAAGATCACAATTTAAGGTGGCATGATTTCATATCCGAGGATAAATGCCGGTTTTTTAAGGTTCATGACATAACCTTTTGGCTAATATGGCTGTATTTACACCACAAATTTTACTCTTGAGTACAGACAAACCTGTGCATAACAGGAATTAGATAATCAAAATGCATTTTATGTTTCAGAAATTATAAATTTTTCTGGATTTTGCTATTCATTTTTTTCATTCCTGCAGAAGGTGCCAAATTAAACTAAATTGGGAAAGAGGTTTGAGAAGCTCCCCTCATATAATAAATGTTGTGAGTAGTAGTATTGATTTAAATGGACAATAGATGGACAAAAGACATCTGCAAATAATAGGTGATTTAAACTGTGTAACTGAGTGGACGTATAAAATGACACTCATGTGTTTGTTTATTTTGCTATCTTGAACTGCAGACTGGAAAAAAAAATGCACATTAAAATACAGGTACATTTTAATAGATATAAGAAGATGCGGTATGGCTGCCAATGAGACAACTCTCCATCCAAGTCACAATTTGTAAAAGTAAACCATTATAGGTCAAAGTACGGCCTTCAACACCGAGCCTTTGCTCACATCGAACAGCAAGCTATAAAGGGCCCCAAAAAAATGACTAGTGTAAAACCATTCAAACATGAAAACCAACAGTGTTATCTATATAAAAAACGAGAAACGAGAAACACTTATGAACCACATCAACAAACGACAACCAATGAACATCAGGTTCCTGACTTAGGACAGGTGCAAACAAATGCAGCTCGTTTAAACGTTTTAAAAGGCGCCAACCTAAGTTTTTAATTTTCTGAAACATAGACTACATATGACTTTTATATATCTAGGTCCTGCCATGCCAAAAACTTTCCTAGATGCATTAATTTGTCTGTACTCATAGTAGATTTTGTGGTGTAAATACTGCCATGTTTTTCAATTCCTTTTGATGAACCTTAACGAGGGTGGTAAATGGTTATTTTCGTGCAACGTGATCGCCGTTTTTTATTTCACGTTCAACGTGTTTTTACCTATTTATTTAACGTTCGGTCGTGCAAGACAGGTGCCTCGTTCAACGTGTTCTGCTTATTTAATTTTACGTGCATCGTGATTTTCAAATGCTTATTTTGCGTGCTCGGTATTTTTCAAATAAAATTCAAATACTTGGAAGGGATCGTCAAGAAATACTTTTTTATACCCGTAAACCATTTACATCATAAATGTGTATACTAAATCGGGAATAAAAAGTAAAACAGAGAGTTTATATATACAAGAAGACAGTGACTCAGTCACAAAAGGTTCAGAACAGTCTTTATTTTTCGTGCAACGTTCATGACAGAAATCGAACAGCAAGCTATAAAGGGCCCCAGCTTTCATGTCGATCCGGCCCCACGTCGATCCGGCCCAACGTCGATCCGGCCCATATTTAAAGTCGATCCGGCCCAATAAAAAATATATTTATAAGGAATAAAAATAAAGATATATATTAATTGTAATTCATAAATGTTTATGAATTTTATTATAATGTAAAAGGTATACGGTTAAAAAAAAGGCCTTTGACAAATATTTTCTTTAGATTAGTTTTAAAACAACTATGTTGATTATGTTTTCATTACAAGTTTTCAAGATTATTGGGTATAATTAAAATAAAAACGTATATAACAGAATTTAGTACCAGACATCAACACTTATCAGCAGTAATAAGCATTTTCTTTCAATTGACTGTGATCTTAACAAGTCTTTCATCCTGTGTAATAACAAATAGTTACATACACAACGGTACAAGCCGATCCCCAAGCTGATACATGGGTCATTTAAAAAAAATGTCGAATATTTAAATTGCAAAATTGATTTAAAGTTACTTATTCAAACAACCCTCGTCATAAGCAAATCAAAACAAACAGTACTTATAGAACAACATATAAAAAGATGCAATCTTGATAATGTCATACAAGAATATATTGAAACATTTTTTTATAGGTGGTGCAATATTTTGTCTCTCCTCAGTCTGTTACCATGTTCAAAAGAAATTTCTGGTTATTTAAAAAAGGTTTCGATAGAATTTTAAGCTTGTATTTCGTAGCCAATAAGATGGTTTTCACGAGTAAAAACTTCTATATATATTCATTCTGAAAAAATACAATTAATTATTACAACACATAACACCAAACAAAAGATCAAACTATAAAGACCTTGTTGATTACGTAACTTTAATCAATCAGGATTTGATTGAATTAAGTAATTACGAGTGGCATTACCTTAGTTCACAATCATTAGACAATTGTTGAATAAACAAACCAATTATAGACTAATGATTTGATTAAACAAGTCATTATGATGAGTTAAATTTTATAGGTTCCATTGGACTGTAAATATTTATTTAGCTATTCTGTGTGTGAATTAAATAAAATAAAATCACCATGACATTCAAAGTTATCATGGAAAATAACTTCATATTAATATGTTGAAGCTGCTACACAATCACACTCATTTTCGTATCGATGTAAAATAATTCTTTGACTGGTACTCCAATACTTCACTTACCTGTTGTCATCCATCAACGATACTTTTTACAAATTCCATTTATACTGTTAAAATTCGTCACAAAATCCTCCAAAGTCAATATAGTTTATTCATATTTTATTATGGGGCCGGATCGACATAGGGACGGATCGACGTGGGCCGGATCGACTTGGGACGGATCGACTTTGGGCCGGATCGACTTGGGGCCGGAACGACCGGATACCAATTATTTCACGTTCAACGTAGTTTACAACTACAACTATTTGGTGTAACAGCATAGTTTTAAGTACAAACTGTAAAAATCAGTTGGAAAGTAACCCATGGCCATTAGCATCTTATCTCGACTAGACCTTTTTCATTTTCAAGTCTACTTGAAAATTGTTTACACATGGAAAGAGTGACCTCAGTCAATGATTGAATTCATAAAAACATTCTAGATATTGACCTCTTGTTTACTTATGTAATGAATGAATTTAATTAATACCTACCCGACTGTGACTTAAAATTTGTTGTAAGATCTTTCAGTTCTTGTTAATCTGATAATCTTCCTGCACTCTGCACTAAAGAATCAGCATGTATGCGAACTTTTGTACAATGTGACCGTATGTTGGCTAAGGGAAATATAGTTACTAAGTAAGGGGAAAGAAACTTACTGTTTCTGAGCAACTTCTCCGTATTCTGAAATCTCAATCTTTTAGGAGCACCTCCAAACAGAATAAGAATATTTATTCTTCTTCAGTATGAATACCACAGTCAAGCAGACTGAAGATTGATTACTGTGTGTGCATGGATGGCATATTTACATGAACAAATCAATACAATAATAAGGAAATGCAGTCCTATTTTGTACAAATTATTTGGTCATGAGTGCAGATGAACAAATAACATGGTTACAATTATGTACAAGAGGGTTCATATTCAAATGAGAGTATGGAGAACAGCAGACGTGAGCGGTTCTCTAACGATGTCTACTGAGGGAGACTGAATTATTGAAGGCACTGGCTACGGTTACATGGAAATGTAACAATAATAAAAATATTATTGTTACGCGCTATTGTTACATTGGAGACTAAATGCCGGAATGCATGGTTGGGTAAGGACCTGATTAATTACGAATGTAACAATAATTATTGAGGCTACGGTTACATTGCGTTATTGTTACATGAAAAACAGCAATGTACGATGGGACTAGTAATATGTACTAAATAATAAAAGTTGAAGATATTTATTTTATATTTACAATACATACAATTATTACATACAATTTCTTTGTTGAAATTCGTGACTTCAAGGAATACACCGTCTTTACATTTCAGTTTCAATGACATTTGGCATTTCATCTGGAAAGTGCTAAAAATACAAAAACACAATGCTTTAGATTAGGTTTTAAGAATTAATTCACAATTTCATAACAAAAACGAGGCAAGAGAGTTCGAAGAGGCAGAGGCAGACATACTACATTCATTAAACTAGCAATGCAAAATAGCAAATATGTCGTTGGAAGAAAGAAAAAAAAAACGTTGGACACTTGGTCTGTGTCAATTTAAACTTTAATTTGATAACACGAATGTAATTTAAATCTCGCATGGATATTATGACCCATTGATATTCGTATATGGGTTAAAAAAACGTACCTTTGGTTTGGGTGAGCTCCATCTGATTTTGAAACGAAATTACGTCCTCCATGGATACATGTATACAGAAGTTTCCAGTATTTTTGTTCGCAGTTAGCAAACTTTGCTATTGATGTATCATTTGTTTTTTAGAACTGCGTTTGTATAGCTGTATGAAATTTGTGTCTTGATATTGTTTCAGTTTTGTTTCAAACGCATCCCAAGTTTAAAATTTTTCACCCAAAACAAAATTGGCAATAGGAATCTCTTCATCCATTGTTCAAAGTATAATGACAGTAATAAGTAGTAGGTGTGCAGTTAAATACTTAGAAGTGAACACTTTTCTCAGCCCGAGTTCTCAACAACAAACCATTGAACTATATTTTTCGCTTTTGGCACTACTAATCTGAAGTAGTATCTTCAAGAACATCAAAACCATTAATACGTAAAACTATTTAAACACCATTTGTTGAATTATAATATTTATTATTTATCATTATTACAAGTATTATTTAGTACATATGAAAGAATTAAGCAACAAAACTATAGAAGATTTAAGTTTAATAAATCTAGCGTACATTGCTGTTTTTCATGTAACAATAACGCAATGTAACCGTAGCCTCAATAATTATTGTTACATTCGTAATTAATCGATTCCTTACCCAACTTTGCATTCCGGCAATTAGTCTCCAATGTAACAATAATATTTTTATTATTGTTACATTTCCATGTAACCGTAGCCAGTGCCATTATTGAAATGGGTAATATGTTCCATTGCAGTATTGTAAACGGAAAAATGAGTGTCTGTTTGTATCTCTAGATGTATATATGTGTCTTAAGGGAGCTGTGGAGTTTTCTGCTTCTTGGATCTGCATGTGTAATAATGGTGTCTGATCATGCTTATGGAATCCCGACTGACTAGATGATGCGAGGTCTTATACATCATAACAAGTCTAGTTCGTAGTCTACAGACTGATAGAGATTGCCAATTAAATTTTTTCAGCACTACTCGTATTTTGATACCTATTACAAACATACCTTTGGACCATTTCAATCTTTGATATTGATTCTGCGGTGTGTGGGTCCCAGACTGAGCAAGTGTACTCTAGTTTGGCGCGGATAAGTACTGATATGCCTGACTCTTGATATGATGGTTTAATGGTTTGATATTCGTTATAGCAAAAGAAAAAAAACCAGTTGTGTTACTTCAAGATGTTATATCATTTATAAGTTTGTCCCGTTTAAGATTCGATTGAAGTGTAATATCAAGGTGTTTAACAGATTACACCGATTCGAATGTGTGATTGTGGAGGATGTATTCGTATTCTATTGGAAGTTTTTGTTTTTTAATTAACATGTTTTATTGGATGTTTTTTTTATCAATCAGATCTTACAGGTTGTTTTTATTTATATTATAATTCTTTATTGGTTGTTTTTTAATGATAGCTTAATGTTTATTTCTTTTTAATCATGCTTTATTGATTTTTTTCAGTTATTTTGTATTTGCTTAGTAAAGATTGCCACCTGCTTTACTAAAAAAGCATTGCCAATATTAAATGATGTAATCCTTACAAACAAGCCTAAAAATAATGGTCAAAATGTAACAAATTTTAACTGCGGCTTGAGTGATGTGCACAACTTAGTATCAGTACAGATAACAGGACAAGTTCCCAAGATAAGAAATGACTATTAAATATAGAAGTTTTAAAAATTTTGATCATGAACATTTTTTGGAGGATCTTAAATCAGAACAATTACAACTTATGGTGTAATACCACCATTGATTTTCCCCTATTAGTCTTTGTTAAATTTGCACTTTTCAAAAAATTGTGCAGAATTTATGTTTGTTTCAAATAAAGAAATACTTGGCATGAGTAAAGTTTTATTCTGTCCAGTACTATAGACAAAATTTCACATAACATTTCATTGCATATAAGAAAATAACCATCACTGGAAGTTAACCAATCAAATTTTCACCTTTTTTTTCTGTGTACAAGCTTTAGGAACCATGTAACCTCAAGTTTCCAAAATAATCTATAGAAACACCAATTTGTTTTACTGCAATGAAATTGATACTGATACATTATATGAAAATTTTGAAAAATCTTTTTTAAAAGTTGTCAATAAGCATGTTTCCTTAAAGATAAGAAAATTTAGACCAAACCCTGCCCCTTTTATGAGCAAATCTTACAACAACTTGAGCAATATACAAATAGAAAATGTTGCATACTAAATTTTTAAAACATAGATCGAATAAAAAATTGGGAGAATTACAGACGGCAAAGAAATTTGGTAACAAAAATTAAAAAGAAGTCGGTGCAAAATTAATTTTTTTGAACGATGTATTGGCGGACCAAAATCAACCGATTTCTGGCTTTCTATCAAGCCATTTTTGTCTAATAAGGGATCGCGAACCGTAAACTGCATTACAATCTGCGAAAATGATAAAATCATAAATGATCCACAGAAAGTATCTGAGGTATTTAACAACTTCTTCATTAATGTGGCAAACAATATTGGTAAAATTAATACTGTCATTGATGAAAATCATCCTAGTATTGAGTTAATTAAACGCTGTAAACAGGAGGGCGAAGAACTAACCCTCCAGCCCGTTACAGATGACTTTGTCAGGAAGCAAATAGATAAACGTAATGCTAAAAAGGCTACGGGATATGATGGTATTTCCGCTAAGCTGTTAAAATTGGCAAAACCTATAATTATTAGTCCTATTAAAACACTAATCAATAATAGTTTTAAAACATCAGTTTTTCCAGATAAGCTAAAGGTCGCCCAGGTTAGACGACTATTTAAGAAAAACAATATGCTGGACAAAGGAAATTATCGCCCAGTTAGTGTGTTGCCAAGCAGTATTTCCAAATTTTACCAACGAGCTATTTTTGATCAACTAGCTGTGTTTAAAAAAAAACAACATTTTAATCCCCTATTATCTGCATTTAGAACAGGATATGGTTGTCAAACTGCCCTCCTTAAAGTTATCGATGATTGGAAGAAAGCACTGGACGATAACAAATTTGTCGCAGCAATATTGATGGGCTTATCAAAGGCATTCGACTGTTTGCCGCATGAGTTATTATCATTACATACTTGGACCTGTGCTTTTTAATATATCCATAAATGATATTCATAAATGACATATTTGGTGTAGTTGACAATAGTTCTATATATAATTATGCTGATGACAACACCTTATCCTATACTGATTTTGATATACAGAATGTTATAAAAAAATTAGAGAGTGGTAGTCTCAAAATGCTGGACTGGTTTGATTGCAATTTCATGAAAGCTAATCCAGATAAGTTCCAAGCTCTGGCAATTGGCAAAACAACTTTTAATCATGATATTGTTTTTAATCTTAAAGGACATAGAATAGAATGTGAAAATGATGTAAAGCTACTGGGAGTCACACTTGACTACAGATTAAATTATGATAAACATATATCTGAGATTTGTAAGAAGGCCTCTCGTCAACTTAATGTTCTTAAACGTATTGGTAGATACCTGAATAGACTTGGTCGTCTAACAATTTATTATTCTTTTATTTTATCTAATCTTAATTACTGCCCAGTCACCTGACATTTTTGTAGTGAAAAAAAACACAGTTAAGATGGAAAAAATCCAAGAGAGAGTCTTGAGATTTGTTTACGAGGATTATGACAGCTCATATGAAGATCGTTTACACTAGTCAACACTTCCATCTCTTAAAGTCAAAAGATTACGAGCAATAGCTATAGAAACTTTAAAAATTATACTTAAAAAGAGTCCATCATATTTACATGATTTGATTAACATAAAAAATCACAAATATTCTTTCAGATATACAGTTGAACAGCCTCAGGAAAGAATAACAATCTATGGCATCAATTCTTTTCGCTACACAGCTGCAAAATAGTGGAATGAACTACCCCAGAGTTTTAGAGAAGAAAACAGTTTTAACAAATTTTCTAAACTTATAGTTACCTGGAATGGTAGTTCATGCCAATGTAATGCCTGCAAATAATTAATGCTTTAATTTATAGTGCTAGTCTGTTTAATGTGCTATAACTTATGTGTTTTATAGTACTTTGAAATAAGAAGATGTGGTATAAGTGCCAATGAGACAACTCTCCATTCAAGTCACACTGTGTAAAAGTAAACAATTATAGGTCAAAGTACGGTCTGTAACACGGAGCCTTGGCTCACACCGAACAGCAAGCTATAAAGGGCCCCAAAATGACTAGTTCATCTAGAGGTCAACATAAGGTATTTAACACTAACCAATTGTATACACGATACAACAACATGTCAACAATAACCAAGTGTATACATGATACAACAACATATCAACAATAACCAAGTGTATACATGATACAACAACATGTCAACAATAACCAATTGTATACATGACACAACAACATGTCAACAATAACCAATTGTATACATGATACAACAACATGTCAACAATAACCAATTGTATACATGATACAACAACATGTCAACAATAAACAAGTGTATACATGATACAACAACATGTCAACAATAACCAAGTGTATACATGATACAACAACATGTCAACAATAACCAAGTGTATACATGATACTACAAAATATCAACACTAACCAAGTGTATACATGATACAACAACATGTCAACAATAACCAAGTGTATACATGATACAACAACAAGTCAACACTAACCAAGTGTATACATGATACAACAACATGTCAACAATAAACAAGTGTATACATGATACAACAACAAGTCAACACAAACCAAGTGTAAACATGATACAACAACATGTCAACAATAAACAAGTGTATACATGATACAACAACATGTCAACAATAAACAAGTGTATACATGATACAACAACAAGTCAACACTAAACAAGTGTAAACATGATACAACAATATGTCCACAATAAACAAGTGTATACTTGATACAACAACATATCAACACTCAACAAATGTATACATGATACAACAACATGTCAACAATAACCAAGTGTATACATGATACAACAACAAGTCAACAATAACCAATTGTATACATGATACAACAACATGTCAACAATAAACAAGTGTATACATGATACAACAACATGTCAACAATAACCAAGTGTATACATGATACAACAACAAGTCAACAATAACCAATTGTATACATGATACAACAACATGTCAACAATAAACAAGTGTATACATGATACAACAACATGTCAACAATAAAAAAGTGTAATCATGATACAACAACATATCAACAATAAAAAAGTCTAAAACATAATACAACAACATGTCAACAATAAACAAGTGTATACATGATACAACAACAAGTCAACACTAAACAAGTGTAAACATGATACAACAAGATATCAACAATAAAAAAGTGTAATCATGATACAACAACATGTCAGCAATAAAAAAGTGTAAACATAATACAACAACATGTTAACATTAAAAAAGTGTAAACATGATACAACAACATGTCAACAATAAACAAGTGTAAACATGATACAACAAGATATCAACAATAAAAAAGTGTAAACATGATACAACAACATGTTAACATTAAACAAGTGTAAACATGATACAACAACATGTCAACAATAAACAAGTGTAAACATGATACAACAACATGTCAACAATAAACAAGTGTAAACATGATACAACAACATGTTAACATTAAAAAAGTGTAAACATGATACAACAACATGTCAACAATAAACAAGTGTAAACATAATACAACAACATGTCAACAATAAACAAGCGTAAACATAATACAACTACATGTCAACAATAAACAAGTGTAAACATAATACAACAACATGTTAACAATAAACAAGTGTAAACATAATACAACAACATGTCAACAATAAACAAGCGTAAACATAATACAACAACATGTCAACAATAAACAAGTGTAAACATAATACAACAACATGTCAACAATAAACAAGTGTAAACATAATACAACAACATGTTAACAATAAACAAGTGTAAATATTATCCGTGCACATCTTGTGACCTTTCAAGAATAAGAACACCAGTTGTTCGTTATTGGATGCAAACGATATTTTCGTGTCATTGAGGACAGTTATAATAATAGTAATTACTATAATAATATTAAATAATGATAATTAATGAAAACGGATGTTGTTATAGTCTCATCTACCGCAAAAAATAAAAATGGTATTTGCATGTACATTTACCAACTATATTATTCTATGTTATTGTTGTAATTTTTTTTTATCAACTGTTTACATTTATTTGAATGAAACTTTTGAAATTTCAACACGCGGTTTCCAAAATATACACCGACTATTTTTTATCGTATATATATCATAAATAAAGTTATTTCTATTCGACCTTTTCCTACTGTCTATATGAGTTAATTCAATACTTTGTATCATATCTAATTTTACACTTGTATATGCAGAGGAACTCTTCCGAAACATGGTTGTATTCAGGTTGACTTTATTTAAAGCAATACACAAGAACTGGTCGATTTACTTCCATTGTTACTTATATCAGACCTAAATTTCAATTAAGTCGCTAGGAGGAGTACAAACAAAAAGTGATTTAATAATTAATTAAAAATTGTGCACATGTTGTTTGTTGTGAATGATTGACACTATCCAGCAATGGTTATGGATAAGACGAAAAACATATATGCATGGATATGATGCTCACATATTTCTTGTTAGCCAGTCTGACTCTTGTATTAATTGGTAAGTATACACTGAGATGACATAAGACACTATAGAAAATATTCTCTACGACTGGTCTGCAATTATATCAATAGATGCATGTATTATCATTTATATATACATTATTTAGGCAACTGTGCATATATTATGTACATAATGCACGGAACTTGTGAGTTAGCCACTTATGAAAACATAATGCATTATTCTACATAGCAATATAAGCTGGCCAATAATATTTACATCTATAATATATCCAACATGCTCATAGGGTACATGTGTTACACTCGGGGCGATTTAGTGCGTTACATACTGTATATGGTATAGACATCCTGTATGTTGCCGAAGACTGTATATGGTATAAACATCCTGTATGTTGCCGAAGACTGTATATAGTATAGACATCCTGTATGTTGCCGAAGACTGTATATGGTATAGACATCCTGTATGTTGCCAAAGACTGTATATGGTATAGACATCCTGTATGTTGCTCTTTAGATGTCTTTTGGTATTTCGTGTCGTTGAGTTGCTGTCCCATTGATGTATGCAACATACCTCCTTAACGAAATATGTTATATAATGTTGTTGGACGATAAAACATAATGTTTTTTTAATATTATGTTGACCTCTTCTAAAACGATCGAGGAAAAACGGATGCTTAAAAAGCTTTTAAATCTTACAAGATCTTTTTCGACAGCAACAAAAGCAGATCTAAGCCATATTTGTATTAAATTGATCATTCCTTTCTCAAATATGAAAGAGAAATCTCTTTATTTTGTAGAGGGAACCTGTGAATTCCCCTCTGAATTGAGAAGATATGATAGATACAACTGTCTTTGTTTTGTAGAGGGCGCCTGTGAATTTCCCTCTGAATTGAGAGGATATGATTGGTAAATCTCTCTTTTTTTGTAGAGGGCGCTTGTGAGTTTCCCTCTGAATTTAGAGGATATGATTGATAAATCTCTTTTTATTTTGCAGAGGGCGCCTGTGAATTTCCCTCTGAATTGAGAGGATATGATTGGTAAATCTCTCTTTTTTTGTAGAGGGCGCCTGTGAGTTTCCTTCTAAATTTAGAGGATATGATTGGTAAATCTCTCTTTATTATGTAGAGGGCGTCTGTGAGTTTCCCTCTAAATTATGAAGATATGATAGATACAACTGTCTTTATTTTGTAGAGGGCGCCTGTGAATTTCCCTCTGAATTGAGAGGATATGATTGGTAAATCTCTCTTTTTTTTGTAGAGGGCGCTTGTGAGTTCCCCTCTGAATTTAGAGCATATGATTGGCAAATCTCTCTTTATTTTGTAGAGGGCGCCTGTGAGTTTCCTTTTGAATTGAGAGGATATTAAAGATACATATTTCTTTTATTTTGTAGAGGGCGCCGGTGGGTTTCCCTTTGAATTGAGAGGATATTAAAGATACATATTTCTTATATTTTGTAGAGGGCGCCTGTGATTCCCTCTGAATTGAGAGGATATGATTGGTAAATCTCTCTTTATTTTGTAGAGGGCGCCTGTGAGTTTCCCTTTGAATTGAGAGGATATTAAAGATACATATTTGTTTTATTTTGTAGAGTGCGCCTGTGAGTTCCCTCTGAATTGAGAGGATATGATTGGCAAATCTGTCTTTATTTTGTAGAGAGCGCCTGTGAGTTTCCCTCTGAATTGAGAGGATATGATTGGTACACGACTAGTAATGGGAAAGTAACAATACCGTCTGATGGCAGTACTATAGGAAACTTTATCTCTGCAATAAAGAGCGGGGAAGAGCTTACTTTAACTTGTTCAGAATATGACAACGACACAGATCGTTACATTAGCACGTGAGTAGAATGTGTTCTCTAAGGTATACAAATCATATATATGGAAAAATGTTTACGTAATTCAATTAACTAATCCAATACACTATTGTGTGTTTCCGAATAGGATAGAAATTGTCGGGCGCCATTACACTGTATGGAACCCACGCTGGTTGTACACATCTAACATGCTTGAGCGCGCCCTATGATAAACGAACATATTAATGAACCCACGCGGATTTTACACTTCTGTTTGGATTGATTGAGTATGAAAGAGCGCCATATAATACACGAACATATCAGTGAACCAACAACGGTTTTATACTTATGTTTGGATTGATCGAATATTTTTGAGCGCGCCCTATGATACCCGAACATATCAGTGAACCCGCACTGGTTGTACACGAATGTTTGGATTGACCCAACATGCTTGAGCGCGACCTATGATACACGAAAATATCAGTGAACCCACGCTGATTTAACACTTATGTAAGGATTGATCGAGTATGCTTGAGCGCGCCCTATGATACACGAACATATCAGTGAACCCACGCTGATTTTACACTTATGTTAGGATTGATCGAGTATGCTTGTGCGCGACCTATGATACACGAACATATCAGTGAACCCACGCTGATTTTACACTTATGTTAGGATTGATCGAGTATGCTTGAACGTGTCATATGATACACGAAATATAAGTGATAAGCTTACGTGATTCGTTGGCGCAGACATTTCGGATAGACCCAAATATACGTATACAGGTGTGGAATCCATACACCATATACTAATAATTTACTTTTGTTCTTAAATCCGTATTTTTATTGTTCGTGTAATCTATGAAAGGATGATTCCTTGTTACTCTCGGTTGTTTAATTTGTGCAATTCTTTCATTTACATGTATAAAGTTTTGGCTCTCCATTGCGCTTTTAACACAGCAGATTCGGTTTGCCATATACATTTCTTTCCCATTAAAAGATCGAGTTGGTATCCAGGGGTGTGATCTACAAAGAAGTCTGTGCCTTTTAACTTCCCATGGTTTAAGGTTTATATTTTCAAAGACCAATAATTTGAGGTTTTTTTTATGAATGAGTAACGCCGTTTTAGCGGCGGTAAATCCGTGTAAATTACGATATAATAATAATTTAATAATTGACTCAAACTGCACATAATTATATTTTGACGTGATAACAATGGCATTGTGACATCGGGCATTCTCACTATAGAATTCTTTAACAAAACATTAGGTTTTAAAATCACTCCGGCAAAATTGACCTAGCTGAGACAGGTTGGATATTATTTTTAATTTCATCTTGACATATTTTGGCCCTTGTATTGACAGATTTTCTAAAACCTTTTTTCATGTCTTTGCAAAAGGTATTAATAATTAGAAGAACCACTGAAACAGATATGAACAACTGTAACGATGATGTATTGGTGTTTAACAAATATTACATGAATTATCAGGACGAGGACATAATAAAGTGAAATGAATATGAACCATGCTTTGAATTAGACCGATACATTGAGACACAATTTTAATGTGCTAGTTCACACGGTAACTGTCTACAGGAAGACATTACTGGTCACATTACATTGACTCCGAGCCGACACAGGAAGACATTACTGGCCACATTACATTGACTCCGAGCCGACATAGGAAGACATTACTGGCCACATTACATTGACTCCGAGCCGACACAGGAAGACATTACTGGCCACATTACATTGACTCCGAGCCGACACAGGAAGACATTACTGGCCACATTACATTGACTCCGAGCCGACACAGGAAGACATTACTGGCCACATTACATTGACTCCGAGCCGACACAGGAAGACATTACTGGCCACATTACATTGACTCCGAGCCGACACAGGAAGACATTACTGGCCACATTACATTGACTTCGAGCCGACACAGGAAGACATTACTGGCCACATTACATTGACTTCGAGCCGACCAGCCTTTGATCTTTCTTCTAAATGCCACGCTCTAAGCGAAAAATCAGCAAATATTAATTTTTAAGTTTTTTGTTTAACCGGCCAAGATTCGAACCCACAACCTCATGCACTCGACTGCAGCAGTTGCTACCTCGAGACTACCGAGGCGGTTTAAAGAATAAAGAAGTTCTATTATTTAGTGTATTATATTGGCGTTTATAGAATAAAAAGAAACCTCATGTCTTTATCCCAGAATTTTAGACAATGCGGTCATATATATATATATTAATTGTTTTAAGATATATGTTAAGCATTTGTTATACCAATACTTTCTCATGCATGCAAATATCAAATATCCATCACAATGTTCATTTCAGCGCAACCTTTAAAGTATTCAGTGCAGTGGATAATCTCAAAGCCTTTTTCTGTATGAAGTTTACAAAGATTACATCAATGAAGTATATTATGACGTATGACAGCGGTAAGTTCGTTTGTACATTCAGACATATTGTATTTGTAGTCAAGATATGTTTTTCATTGTATTCATGATACCCTGGCATGCTCAACACGATTCCATTTAGAAATCTACAAGATAAAATATCTTATCCTACATGATATCCAAGCAAATTCTGCATGATACCTATGTACATCACACTTGATATCCTAGTCTAAATTGAAAACAACGTTCAAACCTATGATTGCGATGGATAAAAACCGCAATTTTTATACGTGTGCATGCAAAACAAATTTCTTGTTAGAGGGGTCTAAATACAGCACAAACAACATTTTCCAAAAGACCAAAAAAGTGAAAAAGTATATTTCAACAAAACGCATTTGACTAACAGGTCGAACAACAAATGTTCTTAAACCCTGCTGACTGCCATTAGCGATTGCCAAAATAAACGGATCACCGATGTAATAAATGGATCTTAATTATAAATTTAATACTAAACAGAAAACAATAAACTTGTGGAAAAGATGGTATACGGCAAACAAAAGGTGCAAAGGTTTTTGTACACCATATCCGGATTTCGACAATTAATGTCTATTCAGTGATGTTAGGAATCGAAACAGTATTTGGAAAGCCATACAATTTACCTCAATTCAGGATAGACTCTTGAATTTTGAGGAGTCAAAATAGGATGAACGGATCAGTTAAACCCGAAGGCAAATATAATACAAGCCCAAACGAAAAAATAAAAACAAGTCTAAATTGAAAACAACGTTCAAACCTATGATTGCGTTGGATAAAAACCGCAATTTTCATACGTGTGCATGCAAAACTAATTTATTGGTAGAGGGGTCTAAATACAGCACAAACAACATTTTCCAAAAGACCAAAAAAGTGAAAAAGTATATTCTGACATATTCTTTTTTTTTATAATTTTTTTTCATTCATGAATTTACAGGTATCTACAAATATTTATCTTGTGGCACAATAATCAAGCAAGTGAAATAAATAAGCATAATAAGCATACTATGGTATAACAGTATGCAATCTATGGATTAAGTATAGTAATAACATTTTCATTAATGTAATAATAGTAGTAATAGTAGTGCAAGAACATATATGTACATACATATCGTATAACAGTATACATATACTTTCAAATAATCATAAACACACATATGTATATGGATTTACCCCATTAAAATTTAATCAGTGACCTTAGCCCAGGGGTTCCTGTACAAGTTGTGTTCTTCCACCCTTAAATATTTTGAGAAATATGTTTTTCTAAAATCAAGTTTTCTTTTATGTTATTTTGAAGTCCTGACATATTCTACATGTACCTGATACCCTTGTATATCTTACTCGATACCGTGGCATATCCTTCATGATAGCCTAGTATATCCTTATTGATACCTCGACTACCCTGACATACTAAACTTGATAACGTGACATATCATACGTGAGACCCGGATAATTCATACTTGATACCAAGCATATCCTACTTCATACCCTGACATATCCTACCTGAGACCCTGATATATATTTCATACTTGAAACCTTGGTATATCCTACATGATACTAAAGCATATCATACTTGACACCACGACATACCATACAAAATACCCTAGTATATCCTACCTGATACCCTGACATTTCCTACATGATACCCTAGTATATTTTACTTGGTATCGTTGCAACACGATTGGTGCCACATATGAAGCAGGATCTGCTTACCCTTCCGGAGCACCTGAGATCACCTCCAGTTTTTGGTAGGGTTCGTGTTGCTCAGTCTTTAGTTTTCTATGTTGTGTTTTGTGTACTGTTGTTTGTCTGTTTGTCTTTTTCTTTTTAGCCATGGCGTTGTCAGTTTATTTTCGACTTATGAGTTTGAATGTCCCTTTGGTATCTTTCGTCTCTCTTTTACATTTTGTATCTTATATAGCCTTAAATAATCAAAACAAAACTAAATAGAGCCTAGGTGGTCGAGTGGTCTAGCGCGTCGGGCATAGTGCAAGGCGATTTTGTGCCACGATATCTCAGTAGCATGAGTTCGAATCCCAGCCAGGGAAGAACAAAAAATTTGCTTCCGCAAATTTACAGATCTAACATCGTTGGGCTGTTGTTTAGACGAATTATATATATACAGAATGTATTTTCAGCCTTGTATCACCATAACTGCTGGTGATCCGATGGATAAAATCTGTTGTAGAGTCGTCACTGGTTCAGACGTACTTTTGATATATTTAAATAGTATATATAGTGTATGTTCAGTTATGAACACTTATGATCCTACATCCTGTCAATACTCTTTACTTGTATTTTGGCATTGCACAAGGTCGTGCGTTTCTCAGGCTGTTTTTAATGTCTTTACACTAAATCCGTTGTATGTGTACTGATTGCTGTTGAAGTCTGGGAGAGCAGAATTTACTTATTAGTTGTAAATTGGCTTTGCACATCGGTAATTATCGGCGCTTTATGTCTATTGGTTTTATATAAGTTGTTTTTGTGCTTCGTACCGATCTATTGAGTTAAGCCATTTGCAACTTAATTTTACAGTTTGTTCTTTTGTTGTGCTGTTAGGGAGAGGGTTGAGCGCTTACAAACATGTTTAACCCCGCCACATTCTGTATGTGCCTGTCCCTAGTCAGGAGCCTAGTTCGAGCATTTGATTTTAGTAATGCAATAAGATAACAACAATGAACTGTTTGATTATGAAATAATGCATCTTTATTCATGCGAAATCAGTAGACATGAATTAAAGAGTCTGATATCTTTATAGAACTGTTTTAGCCTTTTTGTAAAACTCTGGATCCATAAAGGCGTAGATGAATGGATTTGCTATATTATTTATTATATAAGAGTGATACAAAACCAATATTACGGACGCTTCTGTACTAGTGAGTCTCTCCAAGAAATCAGGGAAAAATCCTTCCAACAATAATAAAGTTCCTACTGGCGAATAACACAATAAAAATACAATTGTAATAACCATGAACATAATAGTAAACCTGTATTTAAGTCGTCTATTTCTCCACATGTGAAGTTTGTTGTTAGAACTGTTTTCTGTTCGCCTTTCCAAATATTGGGTTTCATCTGGATTCTGGGTCTCAATTGATTTTTTGGAAGTAATTTCCGTTTCATTGACGTATTTTTGAGATTTTGAGAGTTCTACTGCCAAGCAATATGCTTTTTGTTCGGAGGAGCTGGTTTCTAATCTCGCTTTTGACGTCAAGCTCCTGGATGATTCACTGATCCCTAAAGTATTGCTCGAAAGGGACGTTACGCTGTCGTTGAAATTATATATATCGTTGTGTTTTTGTTCTGCATGTATATGTCTATCATCGTAGCGTAAACCTGTTGAATCATTGTTTCCTTTGATAGAAAATGGAATTGAACGTCTCGATAAACGTGCGATTGCTTTTTTAAATGTCTGCGTTCGTAAATGTCCAAAATATAAAGCAACCAATTTTGCCGTAGAGAATTATGAAAGCAGAGGCACTGAATACAATAACAACGGCACAAGCAATGCCATAAGCGGCCCCTGTAATTTTACTTTTTTTACCTTTTCCCGATAATTTCTCCGTCGCTGTAAAAGTCAACAATTCCGTACTTAAGGGCCAGTGGTATTGAACATGCAACTGATAAAAGAAACGCCATAAAAACTAGTCTTCTTCTCCATCGGATATCAAGTGTCCGTTTCTACAAATTTTCAAATATCTTTGAATTGCAATACACAGAAGCAGAAATCCAGACATGTAAGTGGTATTACCAATGGTGTAGTATATAAATTTGCATAAAGCGGTGTTAGTGAAAGTAATCTGCATCAGGTCCCATGTTGTGCTGAGTGAACAACATACAATACATGCTATCAAATCTGACACTGCCAATATTGGTATAAAGTATCGTTCCTCGGAGATGTTCATTAAGCCTTTCCAATAAACGACGAGAACTAAGGTGTTTCCTATGACCCCAATAATCATATACAATGACATTATTGTAATATCTGGCACCACCATTGTTATCCAGAATTCTGTTGTATTTCTGTTTGCCATATTTTCTAATGAGGTGTTACGTTTAACACTAGAGCATTGTTTTATTAGTTAAGCAATATATATATATAAAGAGGCTAAAATATCAACCTCAATATATATATAAAGTGTCTAATAATGTTCAGAGTAGATCTGTTTCTTTACTTCCTCCTCAATATATATATATATATTTATTAATATAAACCAAGATGTATATATTTGGCTAAAGTACTTTATTTATAACAATAAACTGGGAGAGTAGTAACAGAAAGGCGACATTAGGTCATTAGATTTATGTAATAGTACACATAGACCCATACAAAACAAGTTATCATGATATTAAACTACTAAATACCCCCAAAAGATATATTAACAGACAAGAACAGTCCTTGTACTACAAAAAGACCAGAAAATAATATTAACATATTGATAAACTCCTTGTCGTGTCTCTCTTCTAATGTTTAAGGATATCTTCATGTCTTTATTTATCCACCCTTGTTTGTCCTGGTGATGAATAATAGAACAATGGATCTAAAAAGTGACGTTTTCCGGAGTTATATATAATAGTTGTCAATAAGAACTTGGATATCAATCTCCTTATAAATGACTGGTTGTAAGTATAAATATATTGTTATATTAAACATTAAAAAAAAAATTTGTAAATAAAAATGAGCTTTGTTCTCTGGTTTTCTTTTTTTTTAACTTGTGAGTTCACCTTATGAGGCACGAAGAACTTTTTTGTCGAGCCTTCGACTTTAGTCGAAAAAGCGAGACATAGCGATCCTACATTCCGTCGGCGTTGGCGTCGTCGTCGTCGTCGTCGTTGTCGTCGGCGGCGTCCACAAATATTCACTCTGTGGTTAAAGTTTTTGAAATTTTAATAACTTTCTTAAACTATCCTGGATTTCTACCAAACTTGGACAGAAGCTTGTTTATGATCATAAGATAGTATCCAGAAGTAAATTTTGTAAAAATAAAATTCCTGTTTTTCCGTATTTTACT